TTTGAGTTTGTTTCACATTTTTAAACAGTACTACATCTGAGAAATTTTTTTTTTTTTTTTTTTTTTTTTTGCAGAGATTAGATTTACTTTAATACTGTTTTTCAGAAGGTGTGAAGGAGGATAGTAAACTTTTTTTTTCCTTTTTCTTTTTTTTTCTTTTCCCCTGCTAGCTTTTTTTCCATTTTTTTCCCTCGTAGCAAAAGAAAGAGATTGGAAGAGAGAGATCTGGCAGAGATTGTTTCTGGTTGGGATGAATTTGGGGATAACAGGTATTTTGACTAGGTAAACCAAGAAGGATTTTCGTAAACTTTAGCTTCTGTCTGTACAAGAAATCCCAATTTGGGTAAGCAGTTATGATTTCTACTGTTGCTATAATTAAGGCAGTATGCACTGGTGTTGGGTAAATAGATTTATATTAAACATGTGTATATATTAAAAATGTAAGTCTAATTATTGCACTTTTGTCTTAGTTTGAATAAAAAATTGAGGTCCTGTTTTAGAAAGCAATCCATACTCTAAAAGAACTTGGAGAAGTACAAGAAAAAATTTTTTGATCATTTGTACGCTACTGGCAGAGCTATACTGCGTCTACTTTATTAGATGTGGCTGTTTATGTTAGTCCTTTGTTTGTACATTAACTCTGTGATTTTTTTTGTTGTTGTTTTGTTTTAAAACATCCCCAAAGCTGTTCATGTACTTATGGCTGGAAACAACTAACAACTATTTGGAAATGTAGAACAGTTTGGTGATGGAATATGATCTACATCAGTCATGTGAATGATTTCCAAGTGGCAAAGTAGAAAGTAGAAGATAGAGCTTCTCCCAGATTAATTCTTACATCTAAACTGCATTATAGTATGCTTAAAACATATATTTTGCAGACACTGAAACTCCTTCCCACTGAAGATAAGAGTACCCAGTGTTCTAGCACATTCTCCTGTCTCTAATCTTTCACACTGTAAAGGTGCATTACTGCTAAAGATTCCAGACATACGGGTGTTAGAATAACAAGAACTCTCTTTAAGAAACTTAAACATTTTAGAACTTAAAATACATATATATATGCGTGTGTGTATGATATAAGAGCAGCAAACTTGCTCTTCAGGAAAAGAAAATGAGAACTGAGGTGGAGTGTAGAATCCTAATTTTCCTTTTTGGTTAAAATCCATTGGTTTTAGTGCTAGTAATATGATACAGCATCTAATGATTTCTTTTGTTTGTTTCTGAAAGGATGAAGATTAGAATATATGTCAAGCCATAATACATCTGATACCTGATAGATATTGGAATGAGACCTAAAGATTTGCTTTCTTTATCCAGCGCTGGTAGTTCCTTATAACTTATTTGCATTATCTTAAATTCCTGCACTGAAACTCAGGATAATAAGCAAAATGAATTATAAAATTATGAAATATTTTATCTTGTTGATGGTGGTTTTTTTTTTTTTTTTTTTTTTTTTGTTTGTTTGTTTGTTTGTTTGTTTAAACTAAAGAAAACCCAGTCAGTATATTAAAATAGTGCAGTCTGGTAAATTAGTTCTAGATTTAAAAGAGCTAAATACAGATGTGTTGATTTGGCAGCTTTTTCTTCTACTAATAACTTTTTCAGTTGTAATTTCTCTGATCCAGGACTTGGTTTGCTTTTAAAACCTTTGTGGACAGGTTGAGGAACGAAATAAGCAATGCTGTAACAACTCTGCTGCCAGCTTGTCATATAAATGTTTTCTCCGCATGGCTTTAATTTATACAAAATGCGTATTGTAATTCAGAGCAGTGTGTGCATCAGTACTTAGTATTTCCTCTTTATACTCATGCAGATGAACTGGGTTATATATTGAAAATAACAATAATCTGACTTTTCTAGTGAGAATAATGTAGAGAGTTTGGAAGGATAACATTAGCAGTCATGGACTAGTGTTTGAAATATTGAAATGTTGCTCATCTTTCGGTGACTTTCTTACCCAGAACATCTGACTGATTTTCTTAACAGAAAAAGAGTACGTTATTTTTGTTAGGCTTTTTTTTTTTTTTTTCTTCTGTATCACTTGATGAGTCCATGTATTTTTATCTCATATAGCAGCATTATTTGTAAAGGTTCTGGAATTTTCAGCTCACAGTCAGTGCCAAACTCTTCTTAGAAGAGACTTTTACATGAAAAAAATGTATTTAACTTACAGATCTTATTATGTCTAACTTGGTGGGTTTTTTTTTTCTAACTTGGTGTTGTATTTGATGTTTCTCATCAAATACAAAAACTAAAAACTTAACTAAGTTGTAGTTTTAAGTAGTTAAGAAGATTATGCCAAGTTGAAAATAAATTATAGATCAAGCAAACTTATTAAAATAATGTCAACGTAGATGATGTTTCTTTGTTTTCTCTTTGAGTTTTTTGTCCATTTCAGTCATGGTAAAAAAAAGTAATATGATATTGTGAAGAAGGAAATATGAAACAAGTGGGATATTTGATCTTGTTTTTGTGAAACTAGTGCATGAGTCTGGGTAAATGGAGGTAGTTGCAATTCCTAGTGAGTTTTGAAGGTGTTTATCAGAGATTTTTAGTGAAATGTTTTTTCTTCCTGTATTTCATCCTTGAAAATAGTTGTTCACAAATGCCTGTACTGACAGAAAGCGATGACATGAATAAGGCATGATTGTGAAGTGAGAGGTTTCTTTCTCTGGTAAGATTAATCTTATTAAAGTCTAGTAGAGAGACCTGGTCAGATTTTTTTGAGTTGAATATCTGATTGTAACTCTATACATTCCATTTGAAAATTTTCAGTATACTTGTAGTATATTTACATTGAATGAAAATGGAGTTGCAAATTTAACGAAAAAATGATATTTTCAGTAGCCTTGAAACTTAGTCTCAAATTCTTTTATGAAAACAAAAAGCAAGGCTGAATATTCTTCACTGTTATTCTGTTCTGTATTTTAAGACCTATTTGGCTGGAGTGCTCTATTTCTCCATAGAAAAAAGATTTTCTCTGAACAGTTATGGCACAACATGAAAGCTATCTCTGAAATGCCATGTCATGGCATTTCAGTGTCTGTGCCTTCTCACTCGGACAACTAGTCAAAGACACGCAACTTTTAGTTGCAGTTTAAACTCTATTCGTAATGCACATGAGAGAAAAGGGAAGCTTTAATTCCTAAATGTGGAATTTTATGTACAGAAAATAATAGTAAGAAAAATTTAGAAAATCTTAATGATCTCTTTATGCCATTTAATTTTTTCCTCTGAAAAAACTGTACATTCTGGGTATGGCTTAATTATTATCAGTCAAGTTTGCACAGTAAAGTCCATAAGGTGACTCAACCTTTAGCATGAATAAGAATAAACTGAGAAATGGCATTGCATCTTAATGGCCATTCTGTTACTGTTTTCCATGTAAACAGAATTTAATTCCTTTTTCTTCTTTCAAGTCATTTATATAAAATAATTATCCTCACAGCAGTTTAGGGGAAAAAAAATAACTCAAAAATCTACAAGCAAAGTACAAACTTCATTTTTCCAGTAGTATGTGACAATTCCAGTTTATACACAGTAGGATTTAGCATACAAAGCTATACTGAGCTATGTTATTGTGATGCCTGAATTTATGCCAATACAAGAACTGAATGTAGTTGGAAAAAAATTTGCTTTCATGAACGTAAACTTATGACTAGCTAAGTCCTCTGCAAATATCCACTAATGTTGTTTTACATTTTAATCAAAATGTGTGTCAAGCATAATCAACCATTTGTTGCCTTTTAGATCTTTCTGAACTTTTGCTGAAAGGTCCTGTGGTCTTACTGATATCCTGAAGAACATGATTTTGGCATCAAAGGCGAATCAGTAGAAATATAGATTATAAAAATTGTCAGGGTTTTTGAGGATAAATTGTTTTTATTGGTTTGGAGTTTCTTGCAAAAACTTTTCAAAATATCTTTCAAGTGAGTTTTGTATTCCATGAAGTAAATATATCTCTAAAGTAAAAATCGTTTGAAAGATATACATTTTTTTCCTTTTTGTTTGTCTGCATTTGGGCCAAAGATCTGTTTTCTGTAGCACCTATGTCTTCTTTAACTTATGCATTAATTTCAGCTAAGTCTCTGTATTGACTGTCAGTTAGAAATAGCTTCCTTTAGTGTGTATAAGTACCCCAATGAATATTCAGAAAGTCATACTAATATTTTATAATATTAGGGGAAAAAAACTTGGGTAGCATATGAGTATATCCTGAGTAAAAATAAGGAAGTTAGAGTGTGGTTCTTTCAAATGATGATTTGCTTTTCCATATATGCAAAATGTTTTTAATTTTGCATTCTGTTGCTGGAAATTCTGTTGAGTTCAGTCAAGTGCACGTGAATGTACATGCACACAGGTGCACACACACATTTCCTGATGTTATTATTTTTTTGTTAATGTCTTTGTACTTTGACTGACTTCCACTGCTACACATTTGAGTGTGTGTTTCCTGGGGGGTGTTCTTTTATGTTTAAAATTACACAAAATTTCCATCTGCTTTTATTTGATTTGTGGTTGCAAAGATCATGCTTGGCCCATGGAATCTTACACTGTGCCGAGAGGATGTGGAGTTCTGTCAGCCAGTGAAATATGTCTGTTTTTTTTTTTTATTTTTCTTCAGCAGGTTTCATGTGCTTCTCTTCTTGTGTGGTCTCACTATTCTGAATATATTTAACAGAAATACTTGCCCTCTCTATCTTCTGTGTGCTGCCCTCTTTTAAGCAGCCTATGTATAAGAAATCTGAGATCCAAAAAAATTTCAGTCCTGACTGAAAACAAGGTAGTGTTACATAGAAAAGTACTTTAATAGTTGCACATTCCAAGATTTATAACAGCATTCTGCGTTCTGGTTATACAGAAGTACTAGTTGACGTGCAGTTAATAATATACATCCCTCTTTATATATATGTGTGTGTATATTTATATGTACATATGTAGTGTATATACATATGTAGTATATATATATATAATTTTCTTATATTTCTTTTTTGCAGTCATTGCTACAGTGTACTGTTCAACAGCAAGAAGCAGCTATTGAAAAACAGTATATACTAGCAATTGAAAAACATTCTTACAAATGTCAAGAGCTTCTTGATGCTCAGGTAAGTATATGCATTTACAAAAACTTTTATGATTGTCTTTCAGTTTCAGCTCTTTTTTTTTTTTTTTTTTTTTTTTTTTTTTTTTTTGAAAGAAGTGTGCCTTTTGGAGCAAAGAGGATGACCAGTCTTTCATTTTGCATCCTCAATGTAAGAGTAAACACGGTTACTCAAAAATGCTAAGTGCATGATAACTCTGCATCTGTTGTGTTTGAAAGGATTTTATAACATTTTAATCTCCTTAGAACAGATTCAAGAACTGCAAAAGTATTGTTCCTATAATCTGTTACATCTCAAACCAAAAGGCAGGGACAGAAATGTTCAATAAGTTCAAATTTATCTGGGGATCTAAGTGAGATAGGTGTTAATTGGTGTTGTTTTTTTTTTTTTGTTTGTTTGTTTGTTTTCAGTAGAATCCAACAACATAAGAGTTACAGTGTACATAAGACATAATGCCCTGTTCACAGTTCAAATAATGTCTGCATTTAATGCAGCTTACTCTTGGATCTCTGAAGAGATTTTGTTCACAAACTTAAAAGTAACTTCATTCACCTGAGTCAAAGTTTGCCATCTTTATTTGTTATATATGACTGGAATTTTGAAGCCTAATCAAGCAGACAAAAGGGCAGAGAGTGCTCTGTGGTAGAACTTAATAAACTAGAATTTATTCTGACTATAAATTTGTTGAAAGAGTTCTGAAAAATGTTTACTGTATTTTTATTTGTTAATAGATCGATTCTTCAATATATATTTCTTTTACCATTTCCTTCTGTTCAAATGATTTTGTTCTAACACTTACTGAAGATTACTAAAATTACTAAGATTACCGAAATGATTGCTTATGATTATACACCAAGTTGTTTACCATTCTATGTTATGGCATTGTGCATACATATTTATATGTAAAATTATGAGTATCCATATCACTTCAAAGAATTTGAAACACAACTTCTTTTTCTGGTTTCCTTTAATATTTTTGTCTTAAAAGCAATATTTGGCTTTCAAATTTTAAGGACACTTAACCTCTTAAATTTTCTGCTGTTTTATTTCCAGTTCCATAAAGTCAAGGTTGTCTACCTTAGTGTATTGACTCTTATGTTTTCTCCTAATTCTTTGCCTTAACATTCCTACCTCTCCTCCTTTAGTAAGGAAGAATGACTCTTGTTTGTTTTAAACCTGTCATTGTTTCAGTTTGTTTCAGTTTGTTTCAGTTTCAGATTTTAAAGCTGTCTTTTATCAGAATGCCTGTAATGGAGATGCATGTTGTATGTCTGTAGAAGTACTGATAACTGCTGCTGATACTTGTATACTATTGTATGTTTCAGTCTAGAGGAAAATATGAAAGGTCTAGTTATATCTCAGTTTCCTCCTAGACAAATTCATCTTCAATTCTGACATGCAAGATTTTTCAACTAGCTGGAGCTACCGTTATCATCACCTTCTCCAGGAGGAGCCATCAGCTCCTCAACAAAAACATCCTTGGTTCTGAATCTTCTTTCAGCAGTCTTTTTCTCTGCACTCCTCTTCCAGTTCTGTATCCATAGGACTTCAATTTTAAGACCTTGCTAAAATTGTAAGAAATTCTTTAGGGTAAAATACTCCTGCTATTTTCTGTTGTGGTCCTTCTTCTGGGTGCCTTCTCCACATGTTCTAAAGTCAGAAAGTTCTGGTCTGTTTTATAGTTTAGTTTCATTTGCTTGAAGTTTCTACATGTGTGTTACATAGTATTCTTTCTTCTCTCAGTCTGGAAAAGCCTCAGATTTTGGATATTAACATTTTCAAAACCTTCTGGGATAGTTTGCACTGTTGCTAAAAAATCTGCTTGAGTTAGTTTGATCAGTGCGCTCTCCAACTGTACTAAACTGTCTTTCATTGAAGAGTCCATTTATATAGATGTTATGACTACCCATTGCTCTTGAAAAAACTACTTGAGATATGAGTTGTCAGCATCACTTACTATCCAATTACTGTCAACAGATGCTGAGTAGTTACGCATCTACCCTTTTTCCTAGTTCATTAATGTCAGTCACTTGTCTATAATGTCCTTTATCACACGTTCCTTAGGTGTGGAAGTTAATGGTCCTCACTTTAAATCCCATGCTAGAATGTGCTGAAAGAAGCAGTTCCCTCAAATTCACTGATGAACACTGTGATGGGTGCTTCCTGAGGCATAGTCTCTAGTGTTGCTGTTTATTTTCCAAGGGAGTGTGCTCTCAGATCTACATATCAAGCAGCAAAACAAGTATTTCCATGGCATTTTAAGATTTGTGATGGCATCGGTCAACAAACAGGACAGTAAGAACTTATTTTTGCCAAAAAGCAATCTGATTAGATAATAAACATTTAGGAAAGCAGTGCATGTCAGTTGTATACATATAGTGTTTGAAGATTACAGAGGAAATGTCATTGGCAAGCAAGTGTCAACTTTAAGTGGGAAAATCACAAATTTCGTGTTTTTCTGAAGCATGCATTTGATGTTGCCTCCTGAAAATGAATGCCAGTTTTGATCTTTTGTTTGCACTGGTGTTCTACAAAAATGAAAATCTTTATTAGTCTTTCAACTTTATTTGAATCTGCCCACAATCTCAAGCTAATTAAAAGGTAATTTTTTTCAGTCTCTTTGCATTGTTAATTTAGCTGAGATACTGTCAGTCTCAACAAAAAATCTTATTTGGATATTGCACTTGCTAATCCAAGTTTTCAGATCTTCCTTGGATTCGTGAAGTTTCAGATGAAAGCAGCCCTTTAGTGTGATTTTTTTTTTCTCCAACTTTTGCTTACGTAACAGAATCTCCACTTCTTACTATGAATTAGTCATCTATTCTTGCCAATACTGTGTGATTTTTGCTATCCTCCATTAGTGAACATTTTGATTTTATAAAGGTTTTATTTTAGGAATCCATTTTGTCTTATTTTTCCTGGTGCAATGGAGCAATTGTGAATAACTCGTACAGTGTGCAAAATGAATTGAATCACAAAACCGGAAGAGCTAGTTAACACTTTTCATTCATGTTTTTACTACGGTCTCTTATTTCTGTATTCTTAGGGCAGTTTGGGGACTATTTTAATAGTATTTATTACCACCTATGCACACTTTCTGAGAAAACTGTTTTTAATGTTAGACAACTGAATAGCTTCTTATTCTATTTATAAGCAGTAATACACAGTTGCAGCGAAAAATTTGAAGCTTGATACTGTTGTCTTGCATTAATAATAGCCTCCAGTGTGCATCAAGTTATTCAGATTATTCTGCACACTGCTGAATTGAGTATTAAGCTTAGTTGTTTTATTACCACTACTGTAGTTTTCCTTTGTATTGTATTGTTTTAACTTCTCTTTTTAGTAATGTTTTGCTGGTTTCTGAGATTCCTTTTAGAAACATTTTGCTGCTTTGTTAGCCACTTGGCCGACATACTGGCAAAAAAAGATGCAGTTCAACCATGGAATAATAGGTTATAATTTGAGGAAGTGGAAATATGTAACAGATGTTGGAATTTTTAGACAGATTTTCCACCTTGCACTGCCAAACGCTCAGATGCCACTGATAGTAAGGTCAGTGTAAGAAGCTAGTTATGATTACCAGATCTTGACATTTGATTTGCACTTAGTTTAGCAGAAGTGAAGAAAAGTATAAAAGAATATGCAGGTAGCTAGCCATTTTACAGGAGCAGAAAACTATTATTTTTTTTATAAGACTGCCTTTTTCCTCAGGATAATGTTTTGAATTGGTAGCAATGGACATGTTTTGCTAACTTTACGAAGTCCTTCTGTTATAGCTCTGTATTTTTGACATCTCTCTCTCAAATGGAGATAAAGGGATTTTTCCCATAACGTGAGTTATTTCTTCTTACTGTTGGATTCCTTTATGAGATTGAAATAAAAGTAGTGGGCTAAGGTTTCTTGTTAAAATAGATGAACAAATTTTTGAGTCACTGAATTCTTAAAAAGCCCAGTCCATTAGGTTCTGATTTCTTCAGTGCTTGCTAACTGTTTCTGTAGATGATTTTTCGCAGGCTTAGAGGGCCAGGGGTTGTTCCATGTCCTATGTAATGAAGGCAAAAAAGTTTTTGTTATATTGGAGATGAGAGATTAAGTCTTATTATCACTGTGGGTTTTTTTATAACTCCTCACCAGAATGCAGTTTCATGAGATGAAAAATTCTGTTAGAATTTTTTTTGTGATGAAAACTGGTCATTCACTTGTAGTATAGCTTAGAAATACAGAAAATTATGCCTTAATATACTTAATATATTTTTCAGAATGATGTTATGAAAGGAAGATTCCAAGCATCATTTCATTACTGTGAGAATTTTTTTTCCACAAATTAGAAAAATATGTAAAGGTGCAGGTTTAGTTGACACGTTAGAAGGAAAGGTCACCATCCTGAGAAACCACAACAAACTCAAAAGGTGGGCCTGTATGAACCTAATGAGGTTCAGCATAACAAAGTGCAAGGTGCTGCACTTGGGTCAGGGTAATCCCAAATACGTACAGACTGGGAGAAGAAATCCTTGAGAGTACCTCTGCAGGGAAGGACTTGGGAGTCTTGGGGGATGAAAAACTAAACATGAGCCAGCAGTGTGTGCTTACAGCTCTGAAGGCCAATGGGCTCCATCAGAAGAGGGGTGGCCAGCAGGGGCAGGGAGGGGATTGTACCTCTCTACTCTGTCTTCAGGAGGCCCCATCTGGAGTACTGTGTCCAGGTCTGGAGCCCTCAGTACAGGAAAGATGTGGAGCTGCTGGAGAGTCCAGAGGAGGGTCACAAAGATGACCAGGGGATGACTGAAGCACATTCCCTACGAAGACAGGCTGAAAAGAGCTGGGCTTGTTCAGCTTGGAGAAGAGAAAGCCGTGAGGAGTACTCACTGCAGCCTTCCAATATTGGGGATTATAAAAAGGAGAGGTATCAACTTTTTACTCAGGCAGATAGTGACAGAACAGGGGGGAATGGCTTTAAGCTCAAGGAGGGAAGGTATAGACTGGATGTCAGGGGGAAGTTCTTC